GCCATGACCACGGGCGCCTGGATCTTCACTGGAGGCGTCAGTACGGGTAAGCGATGGGCGGCTGCAGAGACGGAGGCGGAAGGGCCAGAGTGGAAGGAACTGGAGTAGGGTGGGGAAGGGCGTGGCTGCGTGGGATAGGGTTGCCAACCTCCAGGTGTGGCCTGATTACCCAGAATTACAGCTGTTCTCCAGACGACAGGTCATTTCCCCCTGGAGAAAACGGCTGCTTTGGAGGGTGGCTCTGTGGCATAACGCCCAGCTGAGGACCCTCCCCCCCCCAACCCCACTCTTGAATCCCCAGAAATTATCTGGATTTGGCCACCCTAGAGTTATGGGTGCCAACCTCCAGGGGGAAACCTGGAGATCTCCCGCTCTTAACAATTTATCTGCAGATAACCGATTATCAGATCCCCTGGAGAAAATGGCTGCTTTGTAGGGCGGACCCTTGGGCATTACGCCCAGTTGAGGTCCTTCCCCAAACTCCATCTTCCACAGGTTCCACCCCCAATATCCAGGAGTTTCCCAGCCTGGATTTGGCAACCCTATGGCTGATTGGCATGCAGAAGGTCTCAGGTTTATCCCTTGATGCCTCCAGTCCCAAGGATAAGGCACCAGGTTGTGTGAGAGACACCTCCCTGAGACCCTGGAGAGCCGGAGTAGACAACCCCGGCCTTGGAAAAGAACGGTCTGTCTCCATATCAGAGATTTTCATGTGTTCAGTAAGGAAAGCCAGGGGAGGACCTTGAATGGTGTGAGACCAACACAGCAGTAGTAGGGAAGTCTGTGCTTAACTAAGAAAGCAGGTTAATAAATGCCAGGGGTGGTTCTAGGTTAGTTTGGCACCAGGGTTCCCACTTGCCTGCTTATGGTGGGAGACCTCCAGCCAATTGTAGACCTTGCCCGTCGATGATCAGCTAATTGTTGGGCAGAAAGTGGTGCCGAACAGGGGGGACAAACAAACAAACAATAACACCTTGTCCGCTTATAGGAAGTTCTGACCATAGAGTCCCTGACAACTCCTAGAGTTACCCGGGAATAATAAGGGTGGCTCTATATATCGCCAGATACTCTATGGCAACCCCCAAAAGACTTCAGTGAAGTAAGCCATATCGTCACAGGCGCAAGGTGTGAAACCATAACCCATAAAATCCACAACCAGAACACTGACAGGACCAACTCAGCGGCAAGAGAGACTCGATTGGAAACCTGGTGATATCAGTGTTTGTTACTTTTAATCTAAATGCCAGAAGAGTAGGCCCTGAGCTGACCGTTGGGGAGCGGAATCTGTAAGTGTTGTGCCACCACCAAAAAGGCTCCCCCTCTGGTAGCCTTGGTAACCTTCTAATCTTTGCATCAAGGCCTTGCTGGAGTATGATAATTAACGGGGCGTCTGTCTGTGTGTGTGTGTGCTCACGCACGTGCATGTGAGTGTATTTCAGTTGCCAACCTCCAGGTGGGGCCTGGAGATCTCCCACTATTACAACTGATGTCCAGACATGAGAGATCAGCTCTCCTGGAGAAAATGGCTGCTTTAGACAATAGACTCCATGGCATTGTACCCTGCTGGGGTAGACAAGTCGACTTACCTGGCCAGCAGGGGTCTCCCAAAGTCCTTCTGGGAGACTGGAAGTGATGTTGGGCATTTTCTGGCCTACTTCCGGTTGGGGGCCTACTCCCGGTTGGGGGGGGGGGCGACACTCTGTTTTTTGGGCAAAACTCGATGGTAAATTTGGCTTCAAACCAGAGCCCAAAAACCAGAGTGTCACCCCCCCCAAACCGGAAATAGGCCCGAAACTGGAAGTAGGCTTGAAAAGATCAGTTGCGGGCGGACGAGAGCTGTGAAAGCAGAGTTCCCCCACTCCCACGGGGTGGGGTGGGGTGGGGGGAGGCTGCCAACCCTATACCCAGCTGAGGTCCCTCCACTCCTCAAACCCCACCCTTTCCAGGCTCCACCCCCAAAAACTCCATGTATTTCCCGACCCAGAGCCAGCGACCCCGATTACAGCTCGCCTCCAGACCAATGCTCCCTCCCTCTGAGCTGTGGGGTCCTGTGAGCAAAAATTCTAGTTTGTGAGCTACTGGCATTAGAATGGCGAGTGATTCGACGGCCACATAAATTACTTTGCTCTGGAGCCCTCCTTCCTGAGCTAAGACAGAAATGTGTGAGCCGGAGGCTAAAAAACTGTGAGCTGGCTCGCGCTCACTCAACTTAGGGGGGACACTGCTCCAGACCACAGAGATCCATTCCCCTGGAGTAAATGGGTGCTTTGGAGGGTGGACTCCGTGGCATTGTACCCAGCTGAGGTCTCTCGCCTCCTCAAGCCCTGCCTTACTCAGACTCCACCTCCCAAACCTCCAGGCAACCCTAGCTGTGTATGGAAGGAACTAAGAGTGCATGTGTTGCTGCCCTAAAGGCAGAGGTCATTTCGGGGGGGGGGATCGCGGGGGATCGCAGTTCCCCCGAGTGAGGTA